GGAATATAACACATATGTTGAGGGGCAAGGGGACACTGGGAGATAATACTACCCCCATCCAGGCACCCGGGTGGAGGGTGGGAACCAGGGGACCAGAGGGGAGTCAAAGGGATTTTAGGTGAACATACACATATAACAGAGACAAATCAACAACCGACTTGAGGCGCAGGGTTCCCAAAATATGAGCTGCAGATCCCACAAAATCTAAGGTGCGGGAACCCCAGGGGGGCGGGATAAAAGAGGTGAAGGGAAACCCCCTCCCCAGTGGGGATTCCCTCTTGCAGGTAACTCAACCCTCTGGTGCCCAGGCCAGGAATCAGACCCAATTCTCCCATGTGGCAGTCAAAAATTGTACCACTGAGCAATGAATGCCTGAGCTCCTTACTGTAGCTCCAGGGTCTAGAGCCTCTGGGATCTTCCACCGGCCATCTGCTCACCAACCTGCCCAGCTTCATGCCAGAGGAGGGTCAGAATGATCCCAAGCTGCTGCCTCCAGCTCGGGACTTTGTGCCCTCTGGGACCCACTACACACTGCTCCTGGGAGGGTAGGGGGCTGTGGATCAGGAGTGAAGGGCCCTGGCAGTGTATGGTGAGGGCTGGGCTAAACTGTTATATGTGGCCATTGCACCCAGCTCTGGGGTGGATCTCAGTCCTCCCTATGCACTGTTTGATGCAGCTGTTACACCCCAAAACTGGGTGCATATCTGCCATGCACTGTTATATGTGCCTATTACATCCCAGATATAGGGCTACATCATGCCATGCCTCTGTGGCACTGGGAGACTCTCTTGGACCAGGGGCTTCACACCGCATCTGTCAGCCTTGCTGGGGTGCTGGTTTTAGGGTGTCCCCACTGATCACCCAGGCAGTTGCCTCATTGCCAGGACAGCTCCCTCGGACACTGGCCACAGTAGCAGACCATGGTACTGTCTCCTCATCTCTCTGGACACAACTGTGTCGACCCAGGACTGACGCAGGTGCGTCCAGCTCTGGAGTATAACTTACGTATAACAGTGTATGGTGAGGGCTGTGATGAAATGTTATATGTGGCCACTGCACCCAGCTCTGGAGTCTATCTCAGCCCTTCCCATACTGTTATATGTAGCCATTACACCACAAAGCTGGGTGCATCTCTGCCCTTCCCATGCAATATTGTATGTGGCCATTACACCCCAGAGCTAGGGCCATCCCACACTATGCCTCTGGCACTGGGAAATCTCCTGAATACCCTTGACTATGTGGGCTGGCCCAGGGAGGGTTTCCAGCTGTCATCCCAGCCCAAAAAGCAGTTTCTTATTCAAGCCCATATACTTAGTATAGTGTGCATGGGGGGCTGTGAGTTTGTAGGCTGGCATGAACAAACAGCGCTTTGGGCCAGGCAAGACTCTAGTCAGAGATGTCCAGGACAGTCCCCCAGTGACACAGGCATGGTATGGTGGGGCCTACGAAGTATTTCCATCTCTAATCCCAGCCCAAAATAAATTCCTTATTCAAGATCATATACTTATTACAGTGTGCATTGTGGGTTGTCAATCAGGCCATACTTTGGACCGTGCAAGACTCTGGTCAGAGGTGTCCAGAAGAGTCCCTTGGTGGTACACAAGCATGGTAAATGCAAGATATTAATATACATATTATTTGGTAAATATGCATAGCTAATGAAATTCTCTGTCTTTAGAATGTGTAATTAATTAATAGGAAGCTTGTATTGGGTACAGGCTAGCTTTGAAAATGGAACCAGGAACTGGGAATAAGGACCTGGGAATTAAAGCAAAAAACTGAACCCTCATAAACTATAGCATATAGCCTTGGTGTTGGCCACCCTGAAACAGTGGATGGTGAAAAGGCCAGTCACTGCTAGCCAGGGGTCCCTGTCCCACACCATGGGCAGTGGAGTTGGGAGGAGGGGGCTGCATGGTACAGATGTTCCTTGACCTTCAGTAGAGGCAAGCAGTTTGACATTCAGGGAGCAAACCCTAGCATGTGGCCTGGGGTGCCCCAACACAGTAAATGGTGAGAGCAGGCCACTCACTGCAAGCAGAGGGTCCCCCACAGCCTCAGGGCCGGGCAGAATGGGAATTGGCAAGGAATTTTGCAAGTGAAATGTTCCTGGGACCTCAGAAATGTGGGGGGTGGTTGACTGATGAACAGAGAAAATCAAGTACATGACTTGTCAAGTGCAAGTCACAGCTAAGCAGGCTTTTGCCAATTCTGGGAGAGAACCCTAACATGTAGCACTGAGTGCATGTGGTACGAGTTGGGTAGCTCTGGGCAATTAATCATGCCTTTGGCATACCACAAGGTAATGCAGGAGTAGGCATTTGTCTCCGTGGACTGCTTGCTAGGGCATGGCTTCCTCTATTCTTAGTGAAGTAAGCGACAAGAAAACAATAATATTGCTGGCCCCAGAACAGTCACATCACAGAATGGTTTATTGAACTGGGCTATAGGACTCTGTGAAGCTTTGGGTGCTGATTCAATTTGGAGGAGATCTGGGCCGATTTGGCAGCCAAATCTCTGAATCCAAATCAAATCAGGAAACCAGTTAAAAGGTCTGAATCGATTTGAAGCAGGGATCGCTGCCCCCCCAAAGCAGCTGGTGAGTGCTGGGCTTTTTTATTTTTAAAGAGCCGGGAGCAGGGGCAGCCATTCACAGGGCTGGGAGAGCAGGCGGGGGATGGGGCCAATTCAGAGATTTGACCGATTCAGCTGCAGCCAAATCTCCGAATCAGATTCAGCTGAATCAATTCAGGGCAGTGTCTTGAATAACCAAATCACCTAAATCTGAATCTAAAGTGAATATTAGCCTCTTCGCACAGATCTACTGGGCTGGTGTCTATTCAAACTCCTGGAAAGCCAGGTCTGGAGATCTGCCTCAAGGCACAGACTGATGAGAGAGCAACCCCTGCCCCCCACCCCTGCTGGTGCCCTCATCCAGGACCCCAGCCAAAAAGCAGCTTCATTGGCACACTGTTCATGTAGACAGAGCAATTGGAAGTGGGTCACCACTCCAGGATTCAGCCAGGGTCACTCAGCTGGTTTTACAGGTTCTGTTGAGGAATATTAAGGTAACGGTCTGAGGGGGAATGGGAAATGGTCCTCTCCAGTTCTACAGGAGGCACAATATACAACAATCACAGAGAAAACATGACCATGCTTTACAGCCAAGCCACTGTCCGCCCCCCAGCCCTGCCTGTGTCCCACACTCCCAACCTGAAGCCTCCTGCCTGACCAGCCCTGCCACTGCCTCTCATTCCTAGCTAACCTGCAGCCCCACAGCCCAGCCCGTGCCCCTCACACTTGACCCACAGCCCCCTACACTCCCAGAAAGAGGCAGCAGTATGACTATCAGGCAGAGCAATAGCAAGCAGAGGGTGGCCAAAGGGGGACAGGGACATGCTGCTGGGGACAAAAATAGGTTTAGAAGGAACAGGAGTACCAGAGAAGAGGGGCAAGCCTTGGGGGTAAAGGACAGGAGGGGGAACAAGTAT